CACAGAGTTAAACAAATGCAGCATAAAAGAATGAAACACATCTTTACATCATTAAATAATGTCCCACAGAATAAACAAATGTAACACAGCTTAAGATAATATTCCACAACAATCTTCACATTCCTGCGGGGAAATGGAAGGCACAGACAAGAGAGTCCCATAGCACAGTGGAAGAACCGTAGAAGACCCTGTTTCAAAGAAGGCAGAAGGCAGGCAGTGGCAACTGGAGTTGTCCCCTAACTCCTATGTAGTAGGACTGGCATGCACATACACTTAAATACATATAAAGTTTTAAAAAATTGAAAAGTATTCTTTACCAATGCATACTTAAGTAGTAAAACTGTAATACAAAAAGAAAGAAAAATGCAGTAGGAAGAGTAGTTTAAAAATAGGCAAGGGTGGACGAATATCTTGCATATCACCATAGAACCTTCATCTGGTGATGGATGGAGATAGAGACAGAGACCCACACTGGAGCACTGGACTGAGCTCCCAAAATCCCAATGAGGAGCAGAAGGAGGGAGAACATGAGCAGAGAAGTCAGGATCGCAAGGGGTGCACCCACCCACTGAGACAGTGGGGCTGATCTATTGGGAGCTCACCAAGGCCAGCTGGACTGTGACTGAAAAAGCTTGGGATAGGGCCGGACTCTCTGAACATGGCGAACAATGAGGGCTGATGAGAAGCCAAGGACAATGGCACGGGGTTTTGATCCTACTTAATGTGCTGGCTTTGTGGGAGTCTAGCCAGTTTGGATGTTCACCTTCCTAGATATGGACGGAGGGGGGCGGACCTAGGACTTACCACAGGGCAGGGAACCCTGACTGCTCTTTGGACAGGAGAGGGAGGGGAGAGGAGTGGTGGGAGGGGGAGAAGGGTGGGAGGACGGGGAGAAGGGTGGGAGGAGGGGGAAGGAAATGGGAGGCTGGGAGGAGGCAGAAACTTGTTTTTTTTTTCCTTTTCTCAATAAAAATATATATATATATCAAAATATATATATAAAAAAAATAGGCAAGGGTGTCCCTGGGTCATGGGAGTGAGAGAACTGGCCCTGCCTCTCGCCAGCTGCAGCACTCAGGAGAGCAGCCCTGCACCCCTTGGGCAGCACAGTAGAGTTGGTCCTGCTGGTATGGGTGCAGGTGAGCCGGCCCTGAGGGCACGAGGGCATGAGGACTGGCTCTGCCCTTTGCTGTCTGAGGTACCAGGTGAGCTGGGGGGCAGTGCTGACCACCCCAGCTACCACCCAGGCCCAGAACCAGGGTTAGTCCATCAACACCCACCCCATCCATGATCTTCAGTAACATGTGAAGGGGATGAACCTACAGATCCAAAGCTACAGGATCTGCAATGCACAGGGCAACAACAAAATACCCAAGACGAGTCCCAGAGAGGGCCCGATATCGGCAGTGTAGCAGAAGCCAGAAGCCCCAAACTGGATTAATGACTCATTGCAATGAGTGCTTGCAAGTAAAGACGCATGGACTAAAGAGTCCACCGTGTGACTCACTGTGACACACCACAGCTTCCACGGCAAGATGTTTTCTTTCTTTTAAATTTTATTTTATTTTATTGGTGGGGGAGTTTGCAAGGGCAAAGGGCAGATAGGAAGGGATGGGGATATGAAATCCACAAAGAATCAATAAAAAGTTTTAAAAAATAGGGATGGTGGATCATTATCAAAAAAGGTTGGGCGGAAGGCTTTGGGGTTGGGTTTCATTTACTCTGTCACCACCCAAATATGCCATTAATATAACTGATTGTGTCGGACTTTCTGTGGGTGTCACTGTGCATTTCACCAAAAACGTATGTAAAAAAGCCACACCAAACTCCAGGACATGAAGGGAGTTAGCACTGTAACACTTCGCTACATCCATGCTGCCGGGCCCCCTTCACTGCCGTATGAATAGTCTGCCCACATTTCTTTCTAGCCTTTCATTTTTCCCCATGTTAATGACATGTCTTCCCAGACGAGTTCCTCTTCCAGTTTTTTTTTTCTTCCCCATTCTTATTTGATTTTAACTAAGAGGAAAGACCATACAAGCTTTATGCCTCTCTGGAAGCCCAAAGCCATAGAATGGCTTTCAGGAAATTAGGTTGCTTTAGCCTAAGCTACAGTGATTCACAAACCAATCTGCAGGATTTTGTCATAGCTCATGGGAGACGTTTCCTTCTCCGTTAATAATGCAGCTGCTTAAAGATGAAAGGGGTGGGGGAGGTCGCCTTCCCACCTCATCGGGTGCAGCAGCTTCAAAAGGAAAGGCCAGGCAGGGAGGGAGGGAGACTGGCAGGGTAGTGGCCCAGGGGCTTGAGGGAAAGGCACAGCTCAGAGTGGTGTTCCCACCTGCCCAGTTCATGCCACCTGGATGTCAGACCCAGCCGCTTCCAGCAAGCACCCTGGAACAAATTTCCAAACTGATTTAGGACTTTTTAAAAATTCCTGTAATGATTCATATTGATCACCAACTTGATAGGAGAAAAACGGGGCATGTCTGTGAGGGGGTTTCTAGATTGCTTTAACCGGAGTGAGAAGACTCCCCTGAAGGCGGACAGCACTGTCTCTGGCCTGGTATCGGGAACTGAGTAAAAAGGAGAGAGTGAGCTGAGAACCAGCAGGCATCTTTTAAGCATCCTGGCTGTGGACAGAGTGTGGTCAGCTGTTGCACACTCCTGCTGCCGTGACTTGCCGAGGATGCTAAACTGCCCTCTCAAGCTCTGAGCCAATAGGAACCATTTTCTCCTTGTTACATTGGTCAAGCATTCCACAGCAACAAGAAAAGTAACCACAACAGCCGAGACAACCTAAAGTAGTTCTGTTGCTTGTCCTTGGTGTACCACAGTGCTTCCTTCTGCCCTGAACAGGTCAAGGCACTTGACAAAGGAGCACACATTTTGGGTTTGGCCATCTTGCTCTATCTACTCTCTGAATCTAAGTTCTCCCCCCCCCCCCCCCACCCCCGTGCTCATTCTGGAAGGGAAACAGAAAGCAGTCATACAAAGGCACAGGAAAAGGAGAGAAAGGTCAGATGTGATGCTGGCGGGACTGGATGGAGGACAAAGGTGCGGGGCCGCTGCAGTGAGAGCGAGTGGCGTGTCTCAGAACCCTCCACATTAGGACACTACAGGCATAGGTATCAGGGCAGGATCCTGTGAGAACTTCCGAATTCAAACATACTGAATCAGAGCCTGCATTTGAACAGGAGTTTCAGGAATTCTTATGTGCGGTTGTGCCAGGGCCAGATCTGATTGGCATCACTATCCTTGGGCATATTAATAGAGGAAACTGGTTTGGCTGCTGGGGGACCTGGCAATCCCATTACCAGATGGCCCCCACTTTTCGTTCTCACTAGCACTCCAGAGAAGCCTGTGGTCCTACCTGTTAGTTCTCTGTTCTCTACAGAGAGCCAAGGACATTGCAATCTTGCCCTGAGTCTTCCTTCTCTCTAAACTGCTGATGTGACCTTCTCCACCTTTAGGGACAGGCCAGCCACATCTGAACTGTTAGCCTGAAGCCATGCCTGATTTTGACTGTTATTACCTGGGCTTCATTCAGCAGTGTACCCATCTACAGATAGGATTCCAAATCACCAAGTCACATGGTCCAACCCCCCTTCAACAGGTTTCTAACCACTGTACATTGGCCTTCCCAGGGGATGCTCAGTGTATCAGGCTCTTTGGGTCACTGTGACAGGGTACTTGATAGGTAAGTCTAGGAAAGATTGGTATCTTCTGAGTCTGAGGAATTTTAACCCACCATGAGGACAAAGGGACACATGGTGGCAGAAGCAGCTCTGTTTTTAGAGGTGAGAGCCTTGAGGTGGGGGTTGGAGATCAGAAGACAGAGAGTGCAGCACTGAACCAGAAACAAGAATGACTTTCAATGTGCCCAAGATCCCAAACGGTCCACGGTGTCCATAAACAACACTGTCAGCTGAGGGCCAACAGTTCAAACATGTGGTCCCATGGGGGTACACTTCACATTCACACCAGTGCCCCTTTTGGTGGCTGAATATTAGCTTTGTCCCCTTCCCACCGGCAGGTGCTACTCTTGACCCAGCAGGCTCTGCACTCTTTCTCTCCTCCAAAAGAGGAAGAGGCCAGCAGAAGCCAATACAAACAGGCCACACCTTCTCTCTTAGCATCAGTGACTCCAGGACCTGGTGTGCCTGTTTCTGCAAGACCATGAAAGCCCAAAGATTGTCTTTTCTGCCCTGTAAGTTAAAAGCAGCTTAAAAAGGAAAGATTACATAAAACCAGCCCGATAATTTTGCATAACTGCTGTATGGCTCCCCCCCACTGAGGACTTTGTTGCCTGATGTATGTTATAAAAGCAGTCCAATTCGCGCAGAAGCTCCATAATTTCTCTGGTTGCTATACAGCTATTTCGCTCTGACTGCTGATATTTACCTCCCGCCATGCTCAATTTATAGCAGTCAGTAAATTACTTCAAGCGCGGTGCATCTGCGACTGCCGTTTAAGCCAGGACAAAATGGCATGAGAGGTTCCATCAGGCTGGCTGTCAGTTACAGGAGGGTCAGGTTCCACATGGCTGTGACTCCCCACTAATGAGTGATAATATACTTGCTGTATTGTTATGTGTATGCAGGCATGTGTGTATGTGTGCTCCTGTGTATGTGGAATCACCTGTGTGTAGGTAGGTGCACACTTGCGTGCCAACATCTGTGGAGGCCTGAAACTTATATCGGGCATCTTCCCTGACCCTGATGACCCTTCCACCTTACTCTTTGAGGCAGGATCTCCCAATCAAATCCAGAGTTTGATGACTCAGCTGGTCTGTCTGGCCAGCTTGCCACAGGGATCCTCCATCTCTACCTTTCAAGGCTAGAACTATGGGCCAGCGTGCTGGCCTGGCATTTATATAGGTCCTAGAGACCTGAACTCTGGCCCTTCTGTTTGCATGCCAAGCACTTGTTCTACTGAGCCATCTCCCCGCAGTCTGACTTACTGTGTCTTTAAGAATGTTTTATCATTCCTATTCCTAGGAACTATTCTGGTGATTTGGAAGAAAAAAAAAAAAGGAAGAGAAAGCAAACAGAAGTGTGGCAGCACCCCAGTAGCAAAGCAATGGTGTGGGTGTTGTTTCTATTACATACATACATAACACTTTTCACAGACTCCAAATGTCTTACAAAAGAAAACACAACACAAATTCCAATAAAGACGTGGCAACACGGTGAGCGACGAAGAAAACAATTACCCAAGGAAATGTAAATCTGGCAGAAATCATTTGCAGAGAAAGAATGGGTGAGTACCCATCGACTCAGCCTGCGTGGACAGACGTATTCATGGGGCAGCACCAGCATGTTTGGAAAAGAAGTACAGCCAGCCAGCCAGCCCTGGGTATCTGTGAGATCCACATTTCTGTACCCAACCAAGCAAAACTGCAGTTGCACCTGTGTTGAACATGTTCAGACTTTTGTCTTCTTGTTACTCCTTAAACAACATAGTGGAACAGCTTGCACAACATTTACATTGTGTGGGGGGTTGTGAGACTCAAGGGATGGTGCAGCATATCCAGGAGGAAGGACACAATGCCATGCAAGGGCAAAATAATGTCACATAAGGGACATTGAACACCTGCACAATTTGCTACGGGTGGGGTCTTAGAACCAATGCCCCACTGATACCAAGGAAAGGTTATAATGTCAAGACAGAGGTAAAATGTAGGAACTCAATTACCCATGCCTAAAGTTCTTTGAACAAGAGGTACATGCTGTGTGATGAGCTTACTTCAGTTGCTCAAGTTGCAGGTGAACTCACTAAATTAGGAGATTAGCAAATGTGTGTGTGTGTGAGAGCAGGCGCATATAGCTGACATACATAGAATTTTCCAAAAGATACTCTTGACTGAGCAAAATCAAAGGCCCTGCAAAGGAAGAGCCTCAGACTAGAAGGACCAAGTGGAAAGCGAACACCTTGTTTTTATTTGCATGTCATCTGCGCTGCACTTTTCTTCAGGTCTAAATTCAGGACAGACAGTAGCTGTAAATGAAAAAGAAACTATGTTTGAAGTTGGTTAAAATCGCAGATTTTGGGGAGGGTTATCGTGCCGGCTCACCTTCGGTTGCTTTCAGTTCTCAGTGTGCGCCTACGTCATTTGAGTAAGCCTCCATCCAACCATTCAAGCTTTTAGAAAAAGGGACTTCTACTATGAGATGCTCCCAGGGCAATTACAAAAACTTTAAAGAAGCTTAAGAAGTTATCATTTTGTAGAATAATGCTGCAGGTGCTACTACAATGCTACAGACTTATTTATTTTATATACATGTGTGAGTTCCTACATACACGCATGTGCATCACGTGCATGCTTAATAATACCTGCAGAGGCCAGGAGAGGGTGTTGGATCCCCTGGAATTGGAGTTATAAGCACTTGCAAGCTGCCTCATGTGGGTGCTGGGAACCGATCCTGGCTCTTCTTGAAGAGCAGCGGGTGTTCTTAAGTAGCAAGCCACTACAGCTTTAGGGTGCATGGCAGTAGCCAAAGTACTCTGAATTATGATGTCATGTGTCTTCTTTGTTTCACAAGTCACATGGTACAAACAGCACATCGCTGCTCTGAGGATTCAGCAGTGGAAGAAAGCACCAGCTCGCTCCTCTCGAGAGCAGCTATTATTAGCTGGCTCTGATTCCCTCATAGGCTGCATAGCCATGCTCACTAACCTGCACACTCCCTCTGTTGCATCCGTCCACGAATGAGTGCTGCTATGTTCTGTGCTCCAGCGAAGCCACCAGGTGCCCATCGCCAGGAGCCCTTCCAAAATTAAAGAGACAGGGACATTAGAACATTATTTGGGTAGAATGGCATGTACTTTCATATTCGCAAAGACATCAAACCTTTATATACAGAAAATGTTGTGATGCCTAAACTGGACCTCCCTCACCTCCCACCAAAATGCATTCCAAATGAGCACCTGCATTTATGTCCTTATTTGGAAAGAGAGCCTTTGTACCTATACAGCTAAGGTGATGTCATAATGAATCGGGGTGAGAGCTAAATCAGTATTATAAATACAGTGGTGTATTTATAGTAGGACTCTGTAGAAACATACAGGAGAAGATTGGCAGGGAAGAGAGACAGAAATTAGAGTGGCCAGGAGAGATGACTGGTAAAGAGCTTACTATGCAAGCAAGAGGACCTGAGATTGAATGCCCAACATTTATATTTGGTTTTTGTTGTTGTTGAATCTCAGCACTTGGGAGACAGAGGGACAGATTGTTAGACCTTGCTGGCCCATTAGCCTAGGCAAGTCAATGATAAGTTCAAGAAGAGACCCGTCTCAAAAAAACAAAGTGGAAGGGGTCGAAGAGATGGCTCAGTGGTTGAGAGCACTGACTACTCTTCCAGAGGACCCAGGTTCAGTTCCCAGCACCCTCATGGAAGCTCATGGCTGTCTGTGGTTCCAGTTCCAGGGGACCTAACACCCTTACACAGACACATGTGCAGCAGAACACCAATGCACATAAAATAAATTATTTTTAAAAAAGTGGAGAGCACTAATGTCAACCTTTGACTTTTACATATATGTACTATGAACACGTGAACATTTATACACACACATTAAAAAAATTGGACTGATAACAATCACAAACAATTCAGTGGATGATAATGTTACGTCAACACTTATGTTAGTGTTTTCCTAAAATTAATATCTTAAAATCTTAACTTTCCCAATGAAATGATATTAGGATGGGGGCCATTGGAAGGGATTTACATCATGACAGGGTGAATCTCATGAAAAAAATCAGTTCCAGTGTTAGAAGTGACCTAAGGGAGAGTATTCTTATCTTCTTCATGTAATGATAGAAGAAGATAGCCAGTTGCAAACCAGGAAGTAGGTATTGGTCACCCCCTGGCCTGGTAGACTTTGGACCCTGAGCTTCCAGAACCTTGAGAATCAGTGTTTGTTGCCCAAACCACCTGGTCTATAATATTCTGCTTTCCTGAGGCTGAGACAGTGTTGAAACACTGTCAGTTTGGGCCCCCCAGGAAGTGTGACCCTAATTCCAGATTCCTGTTTCTAGAGTTTGAAAAAAAAATAAAGTCTTGTTATCTTAAGCTTGCTGGTTGTAGTATGTTATACCCTTCCTGGAAACAAAAGCAATGTCCAGAATCGAGACATGAAAGTAAATACTGCTTAGTAGGTGGTGCAGGACTGTATTTAGAGCTATTTGGGAAACTGAGGCAAGAAGATAGCAAGCTCAAAACCAGACTGGGTTACAGAGTAAGTCCAAGGATAGACTGGATAACTTAATGGGACCGTGTCTCAATTAAAGAATAAAAAGAAAGCTGGGGATACAACTCTGTATTGGAGGGGTTGCCTAATACATGAAAGATCCTAGATTCAGCCTCCAGTACTACCAAAACCAAACTAAAACAAAAACCCCAGAGACCTGATACCATCAATTCCTTAGACTACAAAACACAAGAAGGAAAAGCCTACTTGCCACCAAGACATGTCAATCATGTGCCAAAGCCGATTAGAAATGGGTCATTTTGTCGCAAGAAGGCAGGAACGAAGGTTCAGTCAAAGTGTAAATATTCACCTCATCTTTGTTTCACCTATTTATTTGTTCATCTGAGGTAGGGTCTTACTATGGAACCTAGGCTGGCCAAGATTCATGCTCCCGTGCCTAAGGCTTCCCAAGAGGTGGCATTGTAGGTATAAATCACCATATCTAGCCTCAGGCATCACGATTTAGAGTAACATATGAGATCCTCACTCTAAAGGTTTGCAAAGGAGTGAGCTGGGGCTGGAAGTACAGCTTAGTGGTAGAAAGTGTGCCTAGCAGGCTTGCATTCCCGGGTTCAATCCCCAGCACATGCCCCCAGCAAATGCAAAGGAGATTGTCAAAATCTGATTCCGTGCCATTCACAGCCCTCACATAAACCAAACATGCATTAAAATGTGGGAACTAGATGAGAGGGTAGTGTTGATTTCCAGAAATAGCACATATTTGGGGTATTTTTCTTTTCAAGATTACTAGGGGCAAAGAGAGTAGACCGCTTGGCTCAGACAAGGGTTGCCTGGATAGAGGGAACAGAACTCAAAAAGCAGAGGTTTGAGGTGGTAGACAGTCCAGAAGGCTGAGGAAAAGGCCAATGACCAGTCACATGAAGACATCCTCACACCCTCATAGGAAAACAGACATGAAAAATGCCCTCAAGTGCTTCCAAAGACCACCAATGAGAGAGGAGCTTTGAAATACCAACCAAGGCCAGAGAACAGCGAAGCTCTCCATAGGCCCAGCAGGCAAGTAAGCAGTGGCCTGCTTCTCTTCTCCCTCTGTCCCCCAGGACTCCACTCAAGAAAGTGTGAAGTCCCACTCCCAAGAGCTAAAGGACAAGAGATACAGGGAGGAGAGAGAAGCCACCTCTCTCTAAAACCGAGCTGATGCTGTATTATCACATGGAGCTTTGCGCCTCAGCTTCTGACATTTTGCTTAGGACATCTCATTACCTGCAAGTGACTGGAAGAACAAAATTTATTCTAAATTTCCTTTAAGAGCCGAGCGAGTGTTGAGTCCATAGATTGAATCGGATGGGCTGCTCTGTGATTGATTGCATCCTCTGAGTCATACTTCTTCAACAGAGTAGTTACATAACTCCATCTAAGTGCATTTGGAGGGAACAGTTCTTGTCCCTTCTATATATTTTTCTTTATGAACACGCCGCTTCTGTCTGAGCTCTGGAAAATCATGTCAAATTATGGAGAACTCATCCCTTTACTTCCTGTTTATCAACACCTAGGATATATCTAAAATGAAAGCCACTTGGGGCTTATTGCAAATCAGGTGATCAATAATTATTGAGCTCATCAGCAAATAAGTGATCGGTGAACAGAAATACAAATTGCATGAACTCTTTATAAATCTGGCCATTCCCAAATCCTTCTCGGCTAGAATAAGCAGTACGCCATGTTTGTGATTTAGAAGACATTTCTATCAGACCCTTTATACATGAAACTATTAAATCTTAGTATCAGATATTTAGGGAGTGATTTAGAAGCATCTCTTATTTTCATTTAGGAAGGCTGCATTCATGACTTATTGTCGCTGTAACAAGATACCTAAGAGAAATTACCTCAAGGACGGGTTGAT